TTCCGGCTGTACATATCGCTAAATTACAGCACATCCAGAACAGTGCAGCTCGGCTAGTCTATTACATTCCTAGATTTGAACATATAACACCTGTTCTTTATCGGCTACACTGGCTGCCTGTGTCTTTTAGGATTGAATACAAAGTGCTAATTTTAACCTATAAGGCAATACATGGCTATGCTCCACTATATATTTCAGATTTAATTAGAACTAGGGAACGAACAAATTATAATTTAAGATCATCATCACAGCTACTACTACAACCTTATAATGCTACAAAAACAAAAAAGACATTGGGAGACAGAGCATTTCAAGTTGCGGAACGGTCTCCCAAATGACATTAGAAATGCTAAGACAATGGACGTTTTTAAGTCCTTAGTGAAAACTCATCTTTTTAGGAAAGCGTATGCTTGTTATTTTTTTTTTTAGAATTTTACATTTTTGACTCTGTGTAATTTTAGTTTATTTATTAGATATGGACTGGATAGTTTTACTATATTAGATTTATTATTTTATTATTATTTTAATGTAACTTGTAAGGCGCATTTGAATATATTCATATAGATATTTGCGCCGAATAAGTAATAAATTATTATTAATTATTATTATTAGCAACTGAACAAGGAAAGGCAAGCAAACCGAACGAAACAAACGAGAAACGTACAAGACGATCGCATTTTCACAGGCAAAAGAAAAACTAGCACTAACCTGAACAAACATACAACTGACGCAAAAACTACAAGCTAAACCCCACAACGTCAAAGAACGCAGATACGATAAAGGACCAATGAATCAAGAAAAAACTGCAATGAAGGCAAAACGCACAACAAAATAGACGTTAAGCAACGAAAACGAAAAACCTATATTCCTTGCGCTAACAACACTAGCTTCAGTTTATCGCCATAGACTAAACCAGATTATGAAGCTGTGAAGGAACTTTCAGCTAGGACTCGGGTCAGAACTCAGAACTCTTTACACGTCAACAAACTGCACGCCCGAAAATTAATACACAGCGTTTTATCAACACCTTTGTAAATAGGTTGATTTGTAAGCTCCATTTATTGTAATGACATACGTTTTAATTATATATATATATACATATATGTAGATATTTTTATCATAGTTTTTTATCCTCCGTATTATTGTAACATAAGATATGTAGTTTTATCTTTTGATGAAATAAAGACTCATTATATATCCTTAGACTTAAATGAGCTTAAAGCTGATATGGCCAGAGCTCCATGGCACATTACTGGTGCTCTTGAAGATATTGATGATAGTTAAATACGAAAAACATTATACTATAAATACCTGTAGTTAAAACAATTCTTTGTCGCCTTCAAATTTCAATTAAACACTGCCCTCAAATTAGCAGCACCCTTAAATAAGTTCCACCTACATGTACATGTCAGTAAGCACCATGGCGCTTATTTGAGTAAATACTGTTGTGTCAGTTATTTTGATCGTTAATACTAGATTTAAAAAACTTACTTTTTGGGTTGTGGTTGACAAAACTTTATTTTTTAGTGCAAAAACAAGGAATACTTCCTTAAAGAAATTAAAGAAATGCATGTGGTTGTCAGGGAAGTATTGGAAGAGGACATTCGGTTTATAACCGAAAATGAAGACAATATTGTGGCATTCAAAGATGTAGCTGAATCCACTATTGAGTAAGTAAAATTACCAGTTGCTGATTGGGCCAATTGGCCTATAAAATTCAGTTTGACAGTGACGTGAAAGCCATGAACAGAAAATTAAATGGCAGGGGTTGCTTTCTGCGGGTCACCTGTTATCTCTTATTGGTCATAATTTGTTGTTGGTGTATTACCAGTTTGATTGTTAAGGAGACTTTTACATATACCGCCTTTATTACACTTATGTCCAAATTTTATAATTACAGATGGGTCCAGACCTTTATTCCAGTTACTTCAGTTTAATCTACATGTATTTTCTTCTTTCCAGCCAACTGCTATATACAGACAACATACTTTCTCACTTGAAAAAACTTCTTGAAGAAAGAGACAACTGCATTGAAGTAAGTATCCTTGCATTGGGGTAAGTATCCTATACAGTGGAGGTTTGTGGTAAAACCAAAATACGAGGATTCAGTCAAATCTCTCCACAATGGCCACCTTGTCCTGGAGGGGAGGGGAGGGGAGATAGGGGTTTGATGTGACAATTTTTTTTACAGCGTACAACATGTTTATTATGCTAAGATCATGTATACAGCTGTACATGCATGCATGCATGCATCTTGGTGTCTTGACGGATGCATGCATCCATGGGTCTGAGCTTAAGCAATTTCTCATCTGCTCCAAAACAGATCTCATAAGATTGAATTGCCTTAAACTGTTATTTTGTTCAGCCACCTCTTCAAGTTGATATGAACAAATTTCAATATTCAATGTTCTTTTACTTTAGATGATATCTTACCTTTCGTATGAAAGAGATTTTCTATTAAATGATAAGGAGGTGAGTATTTAATTTTGCTAATTGTTTTTTTGTGTATTGATTTCATTCGCTATCTAATGTTTTGATACAGTGATAATGATGTGTGAGAGTACAGGTGTATTTGCCACTTGGAGCTTTATGTCCTGAGAAAATCAAATTGCCTTTCTTTCAATTTCATCTATAGTTACAATTAATGTGTCTTTCGTACACCACAGTTATCGACAGCCAATCAATACTGTGTGTCCTTGAAGAAGTGCCTGGGCACTTGTTCAAAATTTCACATGAAAGGAGAGGCATTTATTGGAGGGTTGCTGCTTAAAGTGTATTTTGTTTTAGCTGAAAATTGAAAAACAAAATCCAGCACTACAATGTAAATTTTAAGTCAACATTCTGGGATAAATGTCTCTCTTTCATTAAAGAAGTGGTTGATAGTCAAGCATACCGTAGTCCCATTATACACTTTAAACTGAAGTATTGGTGTGCATGCTTATAAAATATTGATTACTTATCTCCTCATCCTCATCAACACAATAAATATTTCTGTTTTGTCATTTTCCTTTAAGAGTGAGAATCGGCGGCCACTTTTACATCCAGCAAGCCCTGCTGTTTGCCATAATAAGGAGACACCAGCGGCCCATGCAAACAAGGAAAAGATCCGAGTATTAACGGAAGAAATGTATGTTTTAAAATAACTGTATAACTTGCTTGCTTGATCAGAGAGATGATCTTTCAGGCTAGATGTTCACACTATATATTTAATGGTCTACAACCCTTGTAAATGTAAAGAGCTGGTTGTTAGAAAGAAATAGCTTCGTTTTACTAGGAGTAACTCTACAGAGTGACGGGAAATATAATGAGCATGTAAGAACCGAGTTTATCAAAGCAAACAAGTGTTTACACGTCCTACGAACACCAAGAAACGAACACTACTCTCAGGCAGAGATAGATCACCTTTTTATATCTATTGTTTTACCTAATTTTAGCTATGCGCTTTCAGTCTATGGGGCATCAGAGTCCGATCTTACGGTTATACAAAATTTTTTAGACCGGTGCCATAAACGCCGTTTTATTTCATTTCCAGTTTTTATCAAGAACCTTTTAAATAAACAAGACCGAAACATTTTAAAGAAATTAATATCAACGGATTGCCACCCCCTGAAAGATATCATTCCTGTCCAGAGGACTTATGTACATAATCTTAGGAAAAAAGGCCGCGCACGCCCGAAAATTAATACACAGCGTTTTATGAACACCTTTGTAAATAGGTTGATTTGTAAGCTCCATTTATTGTAATGACATACGTTTATATATATATATATATATACATACATACATACATATATATATATAAATACTTGTATTCTGGGTAGAACGTATTCCGTAGAGCGCTCAATTCATTTAATTGAAGAGCATTGATTATTAATAATCACAGGAGTTCAGGCTTCAGGAGTAATCATTGATCGTTTATTGCGACAGTGCTGTTTCGTATGGTCCGAAATTGTAGGACCACACTCATCAGGCAACTTCAACGATTGACCGTTAAAATTAAAAGCTGGCAGTAAATATAGGGATGCGTTAAGAGATAGTATCTAGGTAACAGATGGATTGTGTCTTAGTTACGTTACTCTAGAGTTCTGAAGTACATATCTGTTTCTGTGGGGGCATGAACTTGCTAGTTCGTTTCGCCTGTTTAGGCTACAAAGCTCTTTTTTACAAATGATGATAAACTTTTCATAAAGACAAAGATTACATTTTTTGCTAATGTTGCTATAAGCTTTACATTTCTTTAAAACTTTCCATTTTATCTGGAAAGGTTTGTTAGAGTCTTGTAAAGTCCAAATATATTTTGATAGTTCCGTTTCATTTCTTCTGTTTGAGCGTCGAAAGGAGGACTGATGGTTTCTGTAACGTTCCTTAAAGTTTGTTGCCAGTCCGACGTAAGTTTCAGTTGTCGTCGCTGTAGTTACAGTGGCTTGGTAGATTACATTTGATTGGAGGCATTTTCCTTCGAGTGGACAATCTGGTTTCTTTCTGCAATTGCAGGTGTCAGGTTGTTGCGTTGGTGAGTTGAAATTTGAAAGAACGTACTTGTTGTGTGACGAGATGACAGATTTCATGTTAGGCATGCATGAGTAGCTTAGTTTTAGCGTGTGTCTGTTGAAAATCTTGTGGAGTGGGTGGTTTTGGAAAGCATTTGTCGACGATGTGCAGAAATTTTCTTCCAAGGTTAGTTCTGACGTTTGAGTTGAAAGGAGGGTTGTACCATGTGATGTTTCTTGTTCGTTTTCTTTTGTTTTTCGGAGCTTTCTCTTGTGGGGGGTTGTATGCTAACTTGTGGTCGTATCCGCTTTCTGTTAGAGCTTTCTGGTAAGGGGCAATAGATTCGTCAAATACTTCTTTGCTGGATGAGATGCTAGTTAACCTTTTGTTAATGTTGAGTGGGATATTCTTTAGTAGTGCAGGGGGGTGGTTGCTCTGTTGGTGGACATAGGACAGTTTATTATTAGGCTTCATGAATGGCTTGTAGCACCCGTTTGTGAGGTTGAAGGTCACATCAAGAAAGTTGACGACCTTTTTGTTAGCTTCGATTGTGATTTTAAGGCCATTGGATTTGAACACTTGGCAGACTTCTTGCTTGGTTTTTTCAATTTCTTTTGGAGTGGCCTTGCAAATTGCGAGGCCATCGTCTCGGTACAGACCAACTTCATTTTTTTGAATTTTGGTGCTATCAAGGATAACATGTAGGCGCCTATTAACTCGCACGTTTCTGCTCCGTCGTAAGAGCCCATGGTGACATCAAACATGTTGTTTGCGTTCTTCTTGGTCCATGGAGAATTTTGGTGGTAAAGGAGTGACTTTTTCGCGTGAGTGATGATGTGGCGGTCTTGTTGTGTGATGGTGGTGAATCGTGAGGCATAGTTTAATGCTTTCAGTAGCAGGTCTTCAGATATGGATGGGTAAAAATCGCAGACGTCAAAGGTGATAAATGCGTGTTTTTCCTTTTCCGGTATATCTTTAAACCATTCTATGGTTTCTTTGGTGCATTTCCACAGGTTCACTTTAGTCGCTTGTGTGATTTTGTGGTTTATTCGGTCGAGGATATTTTTGCTGATGATGCCAATTTCGGATTTGCATGGATTAATGAGTCTGCAGGTCGGGTTATTTATGAAATCAGGTTTGTGGTCTTTTAGCGTTATGAATGAGTCTCTGGGCGCTGAGGCCTCAATGCGGTCTGCAAGTTCCAGTTTTTCTGCTATTATCATGTCAAGTATGCAGTCCTCAAACTCGTTGAGCTCTTTTACGTGTGGTGGAGACCGTTTCGATTTAAATCCGTAAGTTTCTTTGGTAGCGTCATCAGTGTTCTTGTTGAGAAAAAAGAAGGCTTTCCAGCGCATACGTTGAATTAAGGATTCTGTTTTAGCAATTAGTGTTTGAAGAAACGCATTTTTACTTGCCATATATATATATGCATGCATCTTGGTGTCTTGACGGATGTATGCATCCATGGGTCTGAGCTTAAGCAATTTCTCATCTGCTCCAAAACAGATCTCATAAGATTGAATTGCCTTAAACTTTTATTTTATTCAGCCACCTCTTCAAGTTGATATGAACAAATTTCAATATTCAATGTTCTTTTACGTTAGATGATATCTTACCTTTCGTATGAAAGAGATTTTCTATTAAATGATAAGGAGGTGAGTATTTAATTTTGCTAATTGTTTTTTTGTGTATTGATTTCATTCGCTATCTAATGTTTTGATACAGTGATAATGATGTGTGAGAGTACAGGTGTATTTGCCACTTGGAGCTTTATATCCTGAGAAAATCAAATTGCCTTTCTTTCAATTTCATCTATAGTTACAATTAATGTGTCTTTCGTACACCACAGCTATTGAGAGCCAATCAATACTGTGTTTCCTTGAAGAAGTGAAAGGAGAGGCACTTATTGGAGGGTTGCTGCTTAAAGTGTATTTTGTTTTAGCTGAAAATTGAAAAACAAAATCCAGCACTACAATGTAAATTTTAAGTCAACATTCTGGGATAAATGTCTTTCTTTCATTAAAGAAGTGGTCGATAGTCAAGCATACCGTAGTCCCATTTAGACTTTAAACTGAAGTATTGGTGTGCATGCTTATAAAATATTGATTACTTATCTCCTCATCCTCATCAACACAATAAATATTTCTGTTTTGTCATTTTCCTTTAAGACTGAGAATCGGCGGCCACTTTTCCATCTAGCAAGCCCTGCTGTTAGCCATAACAAGGAGACACCAGTGGCCCATGCAAACAAGGAGAAGATCAAACTATTAACGGAAGAAATGTATGTTTTAAAATAAGTGTATAACTTACTTGCTTGATCAGAGAGATGATCTTTCAGGCTAGATGTTCACACTATATATTTACTGTATAGACTTTCATGCTGACACAAAAAGCTATCCTGTATATCATGAACACCTATCTGTTGTGACTCTCCACTTAAGAGATGATGCACACAGCGCAGCTTTGCTCTGTCACAGAAATCATGCTGAAATCATTGTTCTTTTGTGTGAACAGAAGGCCAATCCAGTATTTCAGGTTTTCATGCCAGCTCAAAAGCTATGCAGTATAGTGCACCTGCCGACTGAGGCTACATTGTATGTTCACAAAACGCAGGTCACTGGTCACAAGTGCAGGACAAACTAAAGGGCTGAGTTGTTCAAAGCTGGGTTAAGATAACCCAGGGTTAGTGCGAGATTTGAATTCAGATTTGAAAGCTTAAAAAGCATTTCACAAACTACAGCAAGTATTGTCCTAGACGTTTTAATGAAGATCTGTCAACTGTCTCCTGGGACAACCTCAGTGAGTGTCAGGACGTCGATAATGCGTGGTTGAACTTCAAAACATGTTTCTTGCACGTGGCTGATCACCATGCACCTCAAATTGAAAAGAAAGTTCACGGCAGAAACATCCCTTGGTTGTCAAACGAGATAAAGAAAGTAATGGCCGAGAGAGATCATTTTTACCGCCAAGCTCGCAGGACAAACACCGAATTACACTGGTCTAGATACAAGAGTTTGAGAAATCAGGTTACTGCCATGGTTAGAAAAGCGAAATCCAGCTACAACCGCAGAATCATAGAAGAAAATTCTGATGATTCCAAAAATTTCTGGAAGGCGCTAAAAACAAGAAAATCCACGGGTCCTGATAACATACCTCCAAAGCTCCTAAAGCTAGCAGGCGATGCGATTGTTCCGTCACTCCTTAGCCTATTCCGACTCTCCATTACCACCGGTAGGGTGTTCACTAGCTGGAAAACTGCGAGGCTTACTCCAGTATATAAAAAGGACGATGAAACCGACTGCTACAATTATAGACCGATATCATTGCTAAGTGTACCAAGCAAGATCCTTGAATCAGTAGTCAACGACACAATTATTCGTCATGTATACAAAGCTAATAATCTAGTCACGGACAAACAATGGGCATACCGCGCAGGATTTTCAACAGAACTGTTACTAATACAACTTACTGAAACATGGAGAGAAGCTGTGGACGCAGGCTTAGTGGTAGCAGTTGCCTTCATAGACTTTAAAAAGGCATTCGATAGTCTGTCGCACGCCATTCTCGAAACGAAGTTGGAAAGGGACTTTGGCATATCAGGGCTACTCCTGGACTGGCTTAAAAGTTACTTAAAGGAAAGACAGCAATACACAGCTGTTAATGGATCAACTTCAGAGATGATACCGATCTCTTTTGGAATTCCTCAAGGGTCTGTCTTGGGGCCGACACTTTTCACTCTCTTCACGAACGATCTTCCGTCCTCAGTATCTTCCGGATCCGTCTATATGTTTGCCGACGACACAACGGTTTACTGCATAAGTGACACGGCAGAAAAAAGTATTGCCAAGTTAAATTCTGCACTTCGTGAATTAAATTAAAACGAGAATTAAAAACGTGAATTAAAACGAGTGGTGCCTCATTAACAGATTAACACCCCACCCAAGTAAAAGTGAGGCCATGCTAATCTCTAGAAGAAATCCCCCGGTTAACATTCCTCCCATCTTTATCGGAAACTCTACGATTGAATGGTTATCGAAATCACGATTACTGGGAATGACCGTCGATGAGAAACTGACCTGGACTCAGCATATGCTGGAACTCAAAAAATCATTTGCTAAAAAACTAGGATTACTTAAGAAGTCGAGATTTCTCCCTAGAAACGTTCGTCAGGATCTCTATTTTAAGGTCATCTTGCCTTCAGTGACCTATGGTCTTATACTATGGGGATCTTGCTGCAATTCCGACTTATTTCAGTCCCTGGAAAGACTTCACTGCAGGGCTGCGAGACTTATCTTTCATTTGCCGAAAGACATGGCATCTGCTGATGTCCTACAACGGGCCCAATGGCAAACTCTGTCTATTTATTATAATTAGCCATTTTTATCTGTCTTCATAAAGCTTTCCACGATAGGTTAACTGTCACATTAATCGACCTGATTTCTAAGAAACGGGTCACAAACTATTCAACCCGGACTTGCGCTTCTTTAATTGTTCCACGCTTCAACACGCGTTACATGAAAGACTCTGTCGCGTTGAGAGGCTCAGTCCTGTGGAATGCAGTGACCAACAACTGTAGTGCCCTAACAAAAAACATTCCTTATCGTGATCTCAGGCTAAAGCTCAAATCTCAAGCTAATTTTAATGAATTCAGCTTTAAGATAACGCCTGCATCCACTTGTAATTTTAGAAAAGATGACTTTGTATATACTTAAATTTATGCTCATAATTTCATATTTGTAAGCGCTAATTTAGTTCAAACGTTTTGTCTGTATATACCCCTAGTTTTTACTTGTAATTAGTTAATTGCAAACGACCCCACAAGCTCATGTAGCTTTAATACTCATCGTTTTAAAATAAAGGCTATCTATCTATCTATCTATCTTGGATGAATACAGAAATTAGGAAGCCTATGAATCGACGATATAAATACCTAAGAGAAGCTCATGTCAATCCTGGAAACAATGAATTATGGTGCCGCTACAAAAAGCAACGGAACAAAGTTAAGGCAATGCTAAGAAAGGCAGGGTATGTGTCATTCTTTCAAATTTCTTTGAAGAACAGTGCACTCAAAGCCACCCACAATTACTTTCGTGATTGTCGCGTGCACCTTTTCCGACAACCTTTCTTGAAAAAGCTGTATACATGCATGTGACTTCATTTCATTGCAAAGTTTTAAAATTGTGCGTTTACTGTATCTGATGCGATACGCCAAGCGCGGTGCGTTACGAACAAATGCCAACGTCAAGGTATTATTGCTTATAGCAACTGAACAAGGAAAGGCAAGCAAAGCGAACGAAACAAACGAGAAACGTACAAGACGATCGCATTTTCACAGGCAAAAGAAAAACTAGCACTAACGTGAACAAACATACAACTGACGCAAAAACTACAAGAGAGGCCCCACATCGCCAAAGAACGCAGATACCATAAAGGACCAATGAATCAAGAAAAAACTGCAATGAAGGCAAAACGCACAACGAAATAGACGTTAAGCAACGAAAACGAAAGACCTATATTCCTTGCGCTAACAACACTAGCTTCAGTTTATCGCCATAGACTAAACCAGATTATGAAACTGTGAAGGAACTTTCAGCTAGGACTCGGGTCAGAACTCAGAATTCTTTACACGTTAACAAACTGCACGCCCGAAAATTAATACATAATAATAGGTATAATAATATATAATAGGTTGATTTGTAAGCTCCATTTATTGTAATGACATACGTTTTAATTATATATATATATGGGGCCCAGAAGGCCGAAACAGTACTGTCTGCAGTTAGTTATATATACATATATGTAGATATTTTTATCATAGTTTTTTATCCTCCGTATTATTGTAACATAAGATATGTAGTTTTATCTTTTGATGAAATTAAGACTCATTATAAATCCTTAGACTTAAATGAGCTTAAAGCTGATATGGCCAGAGCTCCATGGCACATTACTGGTGCTCTTGAAGATATTGATGATAGTTAAATACGAAAAACATTATACTATAAATACCTGTAGTTAAAACAATTCTTTGTCGCCTTCAAATTTCAATTAAACACTGCCCTCAAATTAGCAGCACCCTTAAATACGTTCCACCTACATGTACATGTCAGTAAGCACCATGGCGCTTATTTGAGTAAATACTGTTGTGTCAGTTATTTTGATCGTTAATAATAGACTTAAAAAACTTACACTTTGGGTTGTGGTTGACAAAACTTTATTTTTTAGT